ACTTCTCCATTGTTGAAGGGAAATAAAGTTTGCCAGACTTTATGGCGAGTACTCTGAAGTCTTCAAGGAATGACCACAGGTGCTTTGTCTCTTCACATGTGATTCTATCAAGATCTCGGTAGGATTGTTTAGACCGGTTTATAAACTGTGTTTATATCTAAGTTTACGGATTGATATTGTCAAAATTATGATATATTTGATGTTTAGGATGCTAATACTGGTTATATTGATGTAGAAATAAAAAAGGGTATATTATAGTTTCATTATGGTTAGATTGTAGGTATATGTTTAACCATACACCAATTGTTCGGTTAAATGTCGGAATGAGTAAAAATGCATGATTAAGCTTAGGYTAACGACCATTGGACTTGTTTTACTGTTTAGTATGTTGAAGTATGTTTATAACATGTAAATGTAGCGAATCATGAAAGTTGGATCATAAAAGTTAGTTGGGAATTACGGAATCGAATTTTACCGACAATGTAACTCCCGTACTTTGACAGTGTATAACTCACAAACCGTAAGTCAAATTAAGCTCGTATTTTGCAGTCAGAAAGATCATACTGCATACTACAACTTTCATTAAGGGTCAAAATTCCATTTATGACTCTAAGTGGCTCGAAACAGTGTGTTTTTGAGGTTGTTTACACTGTATCCGGGATTAATTTGCAGTTTTGTAAAATTCATATAAAATAGATGGATGATCTAAATGAGATGATTTCAAAAGCAGTAGACTCGAATGATACCAATCTACAACTTTCGTTTAGACAATATAATCTGGATTGGTCTCTAAGTAAGATAAAAATACTTAGAAATAAGAGGGTCAGAAACGGTTGGATCGAAAGAGAATAATGCTAAGTTTTACGTTTGAGTTTTCAATTCGTATCCAGCTGTCCTTCTTGAGGTCTACGTTGTTTAAGTAGATTAAGACCTAAGTAATTTTATTAGAATAGTTATATTATGGTTTCTATGCTTTATAAATAGTAACTGTTTATGCATTCGTTAGGCACGCAGGCAAATCAAACTTGATCGTGAATTTCCGTTTGATCGTGCATTAATGGTCAAATTCGGTTAAGGTACGGATTTCATATCTCACTTGACWHGGGGATAGCCATTTGCGTAAGGCTTCCTAATCCAGATAAWCTGTGATAAATTCCGAATAATTTGTTTTGAATTCCCTTTATGCTTATCATATGTTATTGAACTTTGTTTCCTTTTGAATTACGACTTATATTCTTATTTGAAATATGGATCATTTTGATCACTTGATTTATTTTATTGCTTCATTTGTGAAACATTTTACTATATAATCAATAACTGGAGCACTGGTATTGAGATGTTTCCATGGTGACTAAAACGATCATGGCGTCCTTATTTTTATAAGTCCTTAAAAGTGGACTTGATTATGTACCGGTCGAATAGAGGGCGTATGTATCGATCCTAGGAACCGTTATCGGATATTGAATTGTGGCCGTGGTTAAATTCACGGAAAGGATTGTTGTGTTGTGCTCACACCCCTTTCCTCACTTGTGCCTGAATGGACTGGTCATCCTTTGGGAACAACGCATCCTCGTGATGCAGTTTGGTCTTCGGACCCTTGACATGCTTTTGGGGCATTTTGACTTTCTTTTGAATTATCACTTGGCTTTATAAATTGCTTTTGAACTTGTTATCTCACATTCATTATTTAGTTATATTATTATCCATTCACTGAGCATTAAGCTCAGTCGAGATTTTCTTGTCCTCGGCAGGTACATGACTTAGCAGGGATTTTGGGATGAGAGCTACAGATATGACAATATTGAAGATAACCCATTAAGTCATACTTTTGTTTAAACTTTTGATGACTAATGTAGACATACTAGTATTTTGGAATCGTATTTTGAGACATGTTATCTCCGTCTATGGTTATGTAATTATCTTTTGGTAAATTTTATTAGTCGCTCTGTTTTATATAGCACATTGTTTGTTTTATTCCAATTGTGGCATCTCCCGTCTTTGACCACGCGGGACGGGGGTGTTACAAGTTGTGGTATCCGAGCTATAGGTTATGATCATGTAGTACAATTTAGGTTTGATCTGTGAGGAATGGGTAGAACTAAGATAGGACTATCCTAAGCCTTATACATGTTAACTATTTGAAATCTCGTATGATTTGTTTATTTTTGAAATTAATCGAGCAAATGGTTTCCTATTATTTGTGTTAGTTCCAAATGCCGCCAAGAAGAATACCGGCAATAACAGATAGACCTAGAAGAAGCCGAACTGGGTCTGAAAATGAAACAAATCCTCCGCCAACAACTCAACTTGATCCTAATGTGATGGCAGCTGTCCAACAAACAGTTACCGATATGCTACCAGGTATTATAGCACAGACGGTGGAAGCATTACGTCAAATTGGTGAAAATCCGAATCCTAATACTGGGAACTACGGGCCAGAACACATAGATCAAGGAACTAGTAATGAACTTGTTGATATTCATCAATGGTTAGAGAGGTTTCATAAACAAAAGCCTCGTACTTTTACTTCAGCAGCCACTCCTGTTGACGCCGAAGATTGGATATCACATCTTGAAAAGGTATTCCGAGTCTTGGGTTGTTCTGATAGAATTCKAGTGGAACTGGCTACTTATAAACTTGAAGGTGATGCTAGTCGCTGGTGGCAAGCTTGGAAACAATCTTACGGAGGGGATATAGCAATTGAAAATTTAACTTGGCCGAGATTCAAACATGTTTTCTTTCAGCAATACTTTACTGCGGCAGACAAAGAAGCGTATGTTCAAGAGTACGCTACACTCAAACAGAAAGAAGACGAATCCATATCCGAATATGTAGCCACAATGAACACGAAAATCAAAAAAAGGAGCAACCTGATCCAAAGTGCTATGTCTATGTAGATTGAGAGAAGAGAAATACCTTGCACTTGTCAGAGATAATTATCACCGGCGGCGATGTTGGAAGACGAGCACTACGCCTGAGGAAATGAAGAATGAGTGCACTGTGCGTTCCATATGGAAGAAAACCCTATAATCGCCTTTTATCAAAATACATCTTCTCCCCTTGTAGTTCTTAAATTTATAGTTTGGTACTTGACATTTTGTTTAAGAAAAATAACATGCAGAAAACACGTATGGTACATTTTTTTAAAAATATAGCATTAAAAAGTTAAATCTATAAACAACTTATATTCAACTTCAACAGCTATTCTATTTTAACAATTCTATCATTAGTTATATTATTAAAACATTCAAAACATTTAGTAAAATATTATTTCTCTCTCCTAAATATTTAGAGTCCGTTTGGTTTGTAGGATTGTTTTTTAGAGATTTGGATTTCATGGAGGGATTTGGATTGAAATGAAATGGAATTGAAATCATTGGTGTGTTGGTTTGTACGATTTTGGAATGGAATTGGATTCCATTATTATTAATAATTTATTAAAAAAATATAAATAATTAAACTACATTTTTATTAATCGATTATTACAAGTGCAATTTGGGGCTTATATTTCAGGAATCAAAATCTTCGGCCCCAATAATTTCTCTCTCCTTTTAGTCCACCAATCACGTAAAGATGAGTAATTGATTCATCAAATTTTCAATGTTCCATTGTGTGTTTATGTTGGTGATTTGTATCACTAATATCATTTAAGGGGGTGTTTGGGATTGCTTATTTAAAACAACTTATGCTTTTTTGTAAAAGTACTTATTAACTTATGTGGTATTAAACTGGAGTTTTGTAAAAAGTGTTTGGATTAGCTTACAGCGGTACCAAACTGCAATAAGCTGATAAGTTGTTTTTTTAGTGTTTGACAAATTTTGCTTATATCTGTAAAATGACCAAAAAGGACAAAGAGAAGATTGATGTTGTTATATGGAGAAGGGAGAAGATTGAGATCGATGTTATCTGGAGGAAAAAAGATAGGTATAAAGGGTAATAAGGTTAAAATGATAAACTGGTAATAAGCAGTTTTTCATAAGTCATGACGGATTAACTTATCAAAAACTGCTTATTACCGGTTTGGCACCGGTATAAGCAGTTTTCTTTTTTCTTATCCAAACACTAGGTATTAGCTTATCACCGGTGCCAGACTGAAATAAGTCAATAAGCAGATAAAATAAGCAATCCCAAACACCCCCTAAGTGTAATGGGATTAATTTGTTGACCAATGTAATCATGATAAATATCGAACAAGTAAGGAAGGTGCGGAGTGCACACTTGTTTGAGTTTATTTTGATTTAGGGGCGAAGCCTTTAAACGACGGAGGTTCGGGGGCGTGGCGGGGTCCAAGGGGCAGAGCTTTTTAATTTTTAATTTTAAACCCGGTTTTGACCCGGTTTAGGGCTTCGAAACTGTCATTTTGACAGTTTTCGGACTGATTGGCTTCAAAAACTGTCGTTTTGACAGTTTTCGTATGGTTTTTTGGTCATTTTTTCTGTAGAGAGAGAGAGGTACACATAGATTCATAACGATTTCTGCATACTCAAGTTCGGTAAACCACTGAATTTTATCCGATTGAGATTTCGATCGTACCGTCGAAATACTTCAATCTGAAAGTGATATACGACTTTCAGTGGATTTCCAAGCAAGTTCTTCTAACAGTTTATAAGCTCAAAATCCTCACTTTTATATTTTAATAGGCCTAAATTATGTTTCTATAAGCCTGATCCAAGTTTTATGTTGATCAGTGCAAAAAACAGACGAGAAAACGCGAGAAAAAATTGTTGTGGTGCTTAAGAGGGTTGTACGAAACAAGTAGTCAAAAAAGGTAAAATAGAAGAAAATGTTACTTTGACATGCTACATTTCCATGCCATGGTAGCATGCAAGGGGTGCATAATGAGGGGTATGAAGTTACGATACATTAAATGCTACCTTGACATGCTACCATATCATGCTAAAAGTGGGATTTTGAGCTTATATAAAACAAGTAGAACATGAAAATTTGGTGCTATCAGTAATTACTTTATTCAATTTATGTTTTTGTTGTCTTTCTGAAGATGTGTTTTCACATGACTCACGGTTGAAAGCATAATAACTTCAAACACTAGATTGAAATCTACCTTTTGCTTCCATGAAAGAATCACAAGAGGTCTGGTTCATTAATCACATATGGTGCAAAGTAATACAATTTATCTACAAAAATCAACATCACTTGTGAGATTTTCCCGACAACAAAGGCTCCATTACAGGGTCTGCATCTTTGGATGTTAATCGTTCTCTTTCACCGGATTCCATTTCATCGGCGGTTAAGTCAGCTTTACGTCTTTCTTTCAGTATGTCAAGATAGCTGGAACTGTTGTGAAGAGTTACTTGTGGTGCTTTAAGGGAAGAACTGGTTGAGGTCTGCACATGTTGAAGACAAACTTGAACGGCATCATGCACTCTAACAAAACACCATTCTTTACCAACCAGATCGATGAATCCAGATTTTGCTAGAGTTAGAAGAACATCTCGGTTTGGATTAGCAATGGCTATCTGCATTATGGATGATGGTGAAAGGTCGAGAGATTAAACATTATTTGGAGTGAATGAATCATCCAACATGTAGATATCTTGTATACTTACTAAAATGCAAAAAGAAAAGAAAAAAAACAAAGTATGTGATAGGTTGATGTCATTTACCAACACAAATTGGGTAAACGTCGACCAAATAAAAATACTATTTGGGTCAACACTAATCACTAATCGAGTAATGGGTCGTTTACCAAACGCTAACCATGTCATAGCAGGACCGAGAATCTTACCTGGTAAGTGAGGGAGAAGACTCTTTCTTAACATGGTTAGCAATTGTTGGATAAAGACGGTTACCAACAATCCATTTTATTGGTTAAGAATGTTACCTAATAAGGTAAGTGAGAGTGATGACTTTTGCCGGTAACCGCTTATCCGGTAAGCGTTTGGTAAATGACCCCTAAGAGCCCTTTGCTTAGCTTACCGGGTCAGCATCATGGACCTGTAAGAAGGGCTTGGTAAACAGCAACATCCCTGGCCTACTAAGCACCTCTAACCTGAGGGTAAGGGGCGGTAAGCAGGTAGTAAACAACCCCAAACTTTAAATCAAACAAACCCGGTATATCCCATACAGAGAAAGGGTCTGGGGACTGGGGAGGCTAGGATGTATACAGACCTTATCTCTACATGTAGTCTCAAGTAGCCAACTTTAACACACTTTAATGTTCATTTTCGGTGTTATAGCAATGACAACAAAACTACAGATATGATGATGAGAAAGGGTTGGGTTCYGGTGAGAATGAAAGTTATGGTGAGAAGGGTAAGAAGGGATCTCCACTCTTGGATCAATCCTAAATGAAAGAGAACCACTAGATCAACACTAATGAGATACACTAGATCAATTCCTTCTAAAAAGCAATCCATGGGTTGTTTTGGGATTAAAAGTGATCAAGGGTTCAAATCCCTTCTTACACTTCTCACCTTAACTCCTATTCTCACACGATCCTTCGTGATGAGAGAACTCTTCTGATTAGAAGTATAATAGTTGTAGGCAAAAAAAGATTATGCACCTGGATGTTTCTTGATTTATATTCCTGATACAACTCTTTTAAAGCTTGAACTGCACTGGAGTCGGCATAAGTAACAGCTGAAAAAGACATGGAACTAAATTAACTGCTTGTTCTGGATTGAAGATTAAATGTTGGAAAAAGTGGATATYTGTATTTGAAACATTCTATCACTAATATTAATACAATGTGAATCTAATCCTCACCAGTATCACAACATATAAATGCATACATGTCCAAATCTGTATCCATAAAACAGGCATGTCTGCATCCGCATATGATGACAAAAGAAGCGGATATGAATATAATTGTATAATGATACGTTTTCGACTCATTATTAATATAATACACACATATYATACTACCTGGACCATACAAGGRGGGRAATGATGAGAAATTGAGTTTTGTTCTTTGGTYTTAAGAGAAATTGGATCAAGTAAAAAGACGACTATCTGATACAATAAGATCTGGTGTGAGATAACATTGATTAAGAAAACCTTAGGTAATAGAAACCAACGAGCTTTTCCTTTACAACTCAGTTCCCCATGAACTACAAAAACCGACATAAAATACACCAAACTTTGAAAATCAATGTGTTTTCCCCTTCAGTTGACGGATTTGTTACTGCTTGTCCAACTTGCTTATGTGGCATGTCATTGTAAAGGGAGATTGATATTAAAAAGCAATTAACTTTCACTTTGCAGCCTATTAATTGGATAATGACCCATCAAACCCAGCCTCTTAATTGGAGGCTTTTTGCACCAGGATCAGCCTTTTAATTGGATCATATAAAATGAACTTTTTAGTGATCAATGAGGCAAGAGGGCATAGGTGTGAGAGCTAACCAACAAGGATTGTCTTATTTGTGATGGAGATCACCTAAAGAAAAGCAGGGGACGGGCTTTGGCTGATTGTGCAAAGAAATTTAATCCTTTCAATGTTCTTGTTTTCCTATAAACAAAATTTAGTCCTACAACATAAAGTAATCATATTTTCATTTGGTCACTTTATGAAACCCCCATAGAAAACCTGTGTTGAAACTTATATAGGGAAGTCAAAATTTTATCAACAAGGCAAACTTAGAAATGTTAATATAGTCTGAAACCAGGGATTGATAGAGAAGTTACGTATCAGCCATCTAGAAGGAAACATATTATTGTGAAAAGTTGTTTTTATTTTGATTTTGTATTTCAAGGAGAAAATGGGTAGCAAAGTGTAAAATGGGTACAGAAATAAGATCTGCCAACTTAAGGGGGGGAAATCTATCAACTTCTGTAGATCAAGAGGGAAAAGGTCTGCAAGTGAAAGTTGACTAGTTGTCTATGTTATTTCCTGAAAACCTAAATGTATGTAGTAAAACTAAAAACCTTGCATTATTACGAAAAACAATATAAAATTTCAGATGCTGAGTACATACGTGCCATCTCTAGAATTACAAAATGTATTCTTTCAACTTCTGGTCCACGTTTGCCGCCAGATTGGTCTACCGAAATTTCATACTCACGCAGCCTGAAACACATATAAAGATATTGTAATAACTATTTCGTTAAAAGCAAGCAAGCATCATCAAATTGGACAGTACAAAATCACCTATATGGTATGCAACTCCAAGGGTGTGTTTGTTTTAATCTTAATAAGTTTAATGGGTGGTTAGCTTAATTGGTTAAGTTATATTAACATGTTTGATTTAAAATGTTAAGTTAGCCATCCTATCTTAATGCATTAAGTTATAACTTTTCCAATATTACCCTTGTCCTACAATTTTTAATCACCCATCTCATTACAAAATAAATAGTTTACCAACGCACATAAATAAAAAATTGTGTCAAACAATAATACTTAATTGTTCTAAATATATTTTTAGTTATCATGAACCTGTTGAATTCATGTTATTTATGTTATTTTAAATAATTCATACTATTTTAATTTTTTGTCATTCAAAATATTTATCAAACAATTTATTTTCATTCAACACTTATGTAGACATAAGGTTAAAATGGTAATTTTTGTTATTCAGACTATTTATTTAGGACAAAAATCAAACAACAATTTATCTTAATGTATCCAAATAGATTAATGCTTAAAGACAACTTAATAGATTCAGAACTTAATAGATAAATCAAACAACCGCTAAGGCACGATAATATTCACCTGTCTTTTATAAAGCTTGTGTTGGCAAAATAGAAAGGTGCATCTATTCGAACAATCACAATCCCGTTGTATGTATATGCTTCTGGGTACTGTTTGATGTTTCTATAAACAGTGGTGCCAGGAAGCCGCCCCAACACAGCTGTAATACAAACAAATTGACGATTATTCAAAAAGTCATATCTACATGCAACTTTATACAAGAACCCAAAAATTATGAGTTCCAAGAACCTAAAAAGTAAGACAAAACTATGAGTTCCTGAAACTCACATATGCTAGTCAATCAAGAATGACGTGAAAAATCGATTGTTTGATTTTGGGGTTCTTTTTCTTAGGGTGGACAAAGTTCATAGCTAGATTTCAACAACTATGAGTTCCTGAAACTCACATAAGCTAGTTAATTAAGAGTGGCATGACAAATGAATTGTTGGTTTTGGGGAGTTCTTTTTTTAGGATGGACACAGTTCTCAGCTAGATTTTGACATTATCAGCTCCAAGCTTCATAATAACCCTTTAGCTTCGCCCAGCTGAGATTGCTGAGTTTGGCTTCCTTAGGATAACTAAGAGGTCATGTTTAAATCTCATTTATGTATTATCAAGGATGTTCAATAGGAAGGTGACAAAAGTTTCCCCCCTCAGATCTAAAAAATAATCATTTAGCTTCAAAATTGGAAACAGAACCTCATCTTTCCAGCCTGAAACTCACATAAACTCACGAATGTTCAATTTAGCATCATTGCAGAATTCATCAAAACTTCGCTAAACATTATCCTCGTGCCCATTTAGATGAGAGGCCTAAAAATTTATCTCCTTAGTTAAAGTTATATGACTTTCTGAAGAAGGCAATAGTTGGAGATACATGATAACTGGATCGTAACTTATTGGAGAAAGCTGAAGCAAGCACATATATTAATCAACGGCAGTAATATAACAAGCTTGCACACCAATATGTGGATTTGCCGATTCATGGATCACAAAAGCAAGTGAAAACCCGACCTAATTGTCACGACATTGCAACACTCAGATTAGTAATATACAGAACCTAACATATGTATACCAGCGAGCACAAGTTGCAGCAAAGCCAATAGTGGGTCAATATGTTTGGACAAGCTAGAAATGGAAGAGAACCAAAACCAGCAGAAATATTAATAGTCCTGTTCAAGTAGTAGGCAATGTCTTAATTTCTTATAAAGATTGATAAGTCTTCACTGTATGAAGAACTGCCGCAGTACTATCTATCATACACTATAAATAAATGCATACCCCAACAAGCACACCGATCTCTACCCCGAAGAACAACGTTGTTGCACTAGTAACTGTCCAAAGAAAAAAATCTTTCTTATCTACCCGCCATAAAAACATTGCCTCTTCATAGTCCACCTGTTATAATTTACATGATGACAAGTTAGGATCTGAGCAAGGAAAAATCAACACTAAATTATTCTCTATTATGGCATTGTAGAGGAACCAGATTATGATAGAATAGAAATTTTGGGGTATATAGTTCAGTACGTCAGTTAACCGTAAACTGCTGTTACAGGTTGAGAGGCCAACCCWACCAACCACTGAATTTATGACACAATGTAATGGTACARTATGGAACAACAATGTGGAAATGTCTTATGTTATATAGATATAAACAAAAGGTGACAACTGACGCCACATTAATTGCAAAATGATTACAAATAATAACCAAAAGGTAGGGACCAGATACTCTGTCGAAGYTCTTAAAWATCTCCAAATCATAAGATACTACATCCTGGCTATCTATTAATAATCCGTTAGCAGATGTTGATGTTGTATTATGGCTCTATTTCTCATTCGGCTATATTATTAAAAGCAATAATTAATTGCTAATTAATAGGACAGCAGTAAGTAACTGCAAGACAGTTACAAAAGAAAAGAGAAAGACGTGTGTTTTTTCGGTGAGGTGTGTAGAGCAGATTGCTGTGAAAAAGTGTGCGTGAACCTTTGTAATCTCCACAATTTAACTGCCGAACCACTTAATTTTTTGTGTTCCTTCTAATTTTTGCTTTCTGATTTGAATCACAGTACCAGTTTTGTGTTGCTGTGAATTTGTGCGTTAACCAGATAGGTTATCGTTGTGTTCTCTGTTTTCAGAGATTGTTGGCTACTGAAACTCGGTTTTATAACAGTTGAAACATTGCATATAGCGTACAAAACCTATTTTTTCAGAAGATGAGTACATATGTGCCATCTGTAGAAGTTGAAAGAATACGTTTTGTAACTCTACAGATGGCATATATGTTCTAATCATTTGAAATTTTATATAATTTTTGTATTAATGCAAGGTTTTTACATACATTTAGGTTTTGAAGAAATGATACAAGAAAACTTCTTTTCATTGTGCAATGTGTATGGTTGATTGATCATCCCGATACACTCTTTGTAAAACCACATGTAACTTGTAAGTACTAACAATACACCGCCAATTATTACCGGAGGTTAAATGTTGGTGTTGGATACTGCCCCGAATTTTTTTTCTTGTGGGGCAATCAATAAGTCAGTAGGCTAGTACTTAATGGGTTCTCTCGAGTTCAACTGGTCTACCTCTTTGATTGCTTATTAAGTTACAATTTTTATTTTTGTTTCTGAGTTATTTATCTCGTCTTTTAAAAGGTCAACTCATTGATACAACTCCCTAAAGAATCTTGAACTCACAACCTAAGAGTTGTAGATTTCCACAGATACCACTAGGCCAATGACCGCTAGTTATTTATCTCTTGCTAATTGCTTGAATATTTTCTTTTTTGATCCACCTCTGGTTACTTGGAGATGATTTTATACGCTATATGTAGCGTTTCAGTAATTGCAAGTGAATGATAAATAAATAGCCAGGAAGTAGTATCTTTATGATTTGGATGACCAATTAGAAGTTGTATCTTATGATTTGCCGAAAAAACTTATTACACTCTTGCCAATAAGATGTATATTCGTCAGTCATAAACCAAGTGTATTGAGATGACTAATTAGCCCTACACATTGCCATAGACTTGGGTTATATACATTTGCCAATTGGTGCTTCATTACATTGTAGGTACAGCCACCACACATCAGAAAAAAACCAATACATTTTTGCATGTAGAAAGTTAGCATGACTGATATCCTTGGTCCATGCCTCCCACACAAGTAGTTTTAGAGTATTTGTATTTGGTTAGAAAGTTAGCATCAGTAATATCTCAGTCCATGACCTCGTCCGCTACATGTTTTATAGAGTTTTTGCTCAGTAATAAGTATCACTTCAAACCCCAAGTCTTTTCACAAGTAAAGTGGGTTCACGATTTATGATTGATGACTATACAGCTTATTAAAGATTGAGATGTATGATAGTGACGTAAATTCTCTGAATTTGTGGAGAGAGAAAATAGCAAAACTCACCAGCCCAATTACAGCAGAGATTACAATGGCCGCTAGAGCACACTGCAAGGGTGATCAAGTCCACAAGCGGTAGAGTCAAGATCCAAGTACAAAAATTCAATAAACAGTGAGTGCATGTAGCTGCCAAGATAACATCGAAACAATGTCGAGACCATCGAATTTTATAAATTACATACACAGGATCATTAGGATTTTCTGAAATAAATTTTTATATCTAAATTTGAAATGGAAAATTAGCACTGAAATTGGTCAGCAGCAGCCTTTGCGGTCTTTAAGAGAATGAAGTATCAAAGGGAGACATACCTGAGGTATATATTCAAACAATGGTGTCATGAATAACAGAGTGGAACAGATGATAATGCCCATGATAATTCCTGACAAACCAGTTTTTGCACCACTTTCATTATTAACTGCTGATCTTGAGAAGGAACCTATTCAACGTATTCATAAACAAATTGCTCCTTCAGAACAATGCCAACTCAAACTTATAAAACATAGCATGTGTTGATAAGTAATATCAGGCTTGATTACACATGATCTATTTATTTATACGTGAGAAAGACATCAAGAAATCTCACCTGTAGCAGGGTATGCTGAGAAAAAGGACCCAAAAATATTGGCTACTCCAAGGCCAAATAACTATTAAAAACAATGAAAGTGTTAGCAGGGATCTATGACTTTGTTGCTCCTTTACAAAAGGAACTACCTCATAATCAACAATTTGCACCGTGTACTTCTCATAAGTAATCACTTAATAACAGCATCCTTAAATAAACTAAGGTCTAAGCCTCTGTCTCTATTTCATAATGTAACACAAAAAAAGATTTATGATTATAGATGTCCAGTTATGGGAAGAATTATGTCTGCAACCACTTTGATCAATACACTGACTTGCCGAAGATAACTTGGAAGGAACAGAATGTCACAGACAACTAAGATGTTTCTGTATAACAATTAGATGAAGCCTCAATACAAGAGCCAGTAAATTCCACTCAGACAAGGCCGGAACAGTGATAGGGGACTTCCTAGAGGGTTTTTTTTTTCTTTTGAGAGGGGGGTGGATTGTAAGTCGTGTAGCTTGGGGGTCAATGCACAGAGCAAGTAACAGGCCAAAAGTTAATGTTCATTCTGCAAGTAGGGATATGGTGCTTCAGAGAAATGTGTGCATGCTCTTTTCTTTGCTTCAAGTAACCGTGTGTGGGGTACCTACGAGTAAGGCTTTGGAGGAACATTGGTTGGAGACTTCCTAGAGGGTAGGCAGGGATGACTTCTGTTACTAAAGGTATTTGGCAGGTCTGCCTAGAAGCAAATCTCAGACAGTAACAGGGATGGGAGACTTCCTAGAGGTTAGGCAAGGCGACCTTCAACAAGCAACTTGTCTTGATAGACCAGACACAGATCAAGGAAAAAGTTGAACAGTTTATTTTTAGGCTGCTTGTAGAACGCTTGATCATCAAAAAATGCACAATAATGAACCTTAAATCCAATAGCGATTTTGTGCTTAAGGAAGATACCTCTTGATTTGAATCCAATTCATATCCATTCTTTGCGGCCAGAGCTTTGGCAATCCCGACAGATTCCTGAATTGCAGATGTGAAGTGAGTGGATGGTTAATATTATGAAGAGCATCATAAGATTCTAGCTAATGATAGAATTCAGTTCCTACCAGTATAGCCACTCCAGTAATTAGAAATGTGGTAGAAATTAATGACTTTGCAAGCCCAAACTCTTTAGGGATGGAAAACGAAGGAAGCCCTTGAGGTATATTTCCCACCTGAATTCCTCAGTCAAATACATATGGTAAGTGATTATATGGCATTAAAAGTATAGTTCAAACAAGATAACCAGATACTGGAAGAAGAAAAATCCAAACTTTCATTCTTAAAATACAATAATGAAAATCTATTTGATGTATCCAAAACAATAATAGAACGAATATACAAAGAAAACTGTTCTCTCTGCAAACTGAAACATTCATGATTTCTTGTCCAAGGTAGTTTATGTACATATCAGAATTTTGAACAAGCCTTGGCATTAATTTTCACTAGTTTCTCCTGGTATTGACGAATGTATATCACATGAAATGATCTCCTACCTTTGCTCAAGATTAAGCCATTGTTCATGGCTCGAGATTTGATTTATTACATTAAGTGGCAAAGAAATTTCAATGGTAGATGTATCAATGATTTATTTGCCTTGAAATTCTAGAGCACATGGACATGCATTGTGGGAGATGAACCTGACTGCATTAATCCTAATAGTTCTTTTGGGAGTGTCCCAGCCCAATTAAGTTCTAAAGTTGCATATTTCTTGTATGTGTTTATACATTGTATTTGGTTTTAGGGTTGCATACTTGTTGTGATAATAACAATTCTTGGTGAAGAGACAAGAATACTCCGTCCCGAACCATGGGTGGACATAGATCCAATTGACCTAACCACTACAAACTTGTATTCTCTTATTTTCTTTTTTCTTGAAATCTTGTGATTATATGCAACATCTAAACCACAGACAACTGACACCCTTCAAGAAAACAACAAAAGAACCAAAAGTGATGGCCCCAAATGGGAAGTGATCCACGAAGTAACATTAAATCAAATTATAAAAAAACATCATTTTTCCTCAAAGGAAATAAGCGGATCATAAAAATCTCTTAGGACCTTTGGGTTGGATTATGATGACATTAAACACATATGAAGGGTGAACATAGCAACTTATACCAATTTGAAACAGACAAGCAAAAACAAACACACATGCACACACATATCTGTATTACATATGTTGTGTTTGTAAGTATATGTATCTATGTGTGTTAGTGTGATAGTCTTGATGATTGACATAAAAATTACACGGCATTAGTTCAGAAGAATAGACGAACAAACCGATTTCTAGGTTGTTTGTCATATATTTGCATAATTAAGTGATTCCGTGGATGTACTCGTCTACTTATTTTAGAGTTCAATTCTAGTACAGCAGAAAAAGTTTCTTTCATTATCTCACCAAAGAGATGGAAGATGGATGAAATATTTTCACAAAAGTTGTACCCAGAACAACTGCAGTGAGGGGACCTGCTGCTCGCAAAAACCGCAAGTTCTTCCTTGTTTTACCCTATACACAGAACCATCCAAATAATTAGTGAGCGTAGGTGTGACACATCAATTTAACTTAGTTGGAAGAAATAACGTACCAAGTGCTTCATGGTCAACATAATTGCAAGAAAAGTAGACCCCATCACAAAAGGAGGCCATGAGAACTAGAAACAGAAACCATTGCCAAAGGTGAGCACAGCAACTAAGATATAAGTATATGATGAATCAAAGGTGGGACCAAGGTTATCTTTGAAAATTACAAGGTATGACGAAGGAGAAAATAATTCTTTTTCAAGTTTGTATTGTTGAACAAGAGGATTTACTCAAGCAAACAAACAATAAATAAATATGCATAGTACGTCTTAGTTACAATTTATAAACATGATTCAGAATCTAATGTTGGTCACATCTCTTGGAAATTATATGTGAGGTTCGAGGTTTTCCTCTATCCCACATTGGTAGATAAAGAAACTCTAGAGAAGCTTATAAGGCTTTCTCTACAATTGGGCTTGAACATATGGGTAGACTCATGCTGGGGGTCTTGAGTGGAAGGCCCAACGCACGGGCGCGAGATTATTTTGACACCTATGCTCCAGTTGCTAGAATTAGTTCTATTCAAACTCTTATAGCAATTTCAGCCATAAAAGGTCTGTACATCAGCCTTTTTGAATGGCTATCTACACGAAGAGGTTTATATGGAGCAACGTGAAGGGTTTGTGGTACCCGGACAAGAGAACAAAGTGTGTAGACTTATAAAATCTCTATAAGATGGGAGCCTCGCCCCGAGCTCCGAGTATCTTTTTGGTATATCATCGAGAGAGATGGGAAGCAATTTTTTCGAAAAATCGGATTTTTAAACCAAGTTGACCAAGTTTCTTGGAGATAAAGATTGTTGGAGGATAATCCTCCAACTAACCATGATCCTCCGTTTTTTGGGGATGAGATCGTGGGGATTTTAGGGTTTTCCCCAATATAAATACCGGGTAGAAGCCACCCCTATGAATCACTCAAGAAAATTAGCGCTTCCTCTCTCGAATCTCTGCTCCTACCCGTTCTTTCTCTCTACCGAATTTCTGCATCCATCTTGCTTTAGTTTTCGGTTTTCATCGCTGTTGAAAAACGAAAATGTGTACTGCATCAAATCATGGGGCTTAGCGACTAGCAGATTCACAGCGTCAAAAGAGTAGTCGTATAAAACCTTTTAAGGATAGATTTTGTACCGTGCAGATCTCTGCCTTTGCGTACTTCAAGAAAATCAGGTTGGTATTTATTTTTTCGGCATTGTATTTAATTTTCGTTCACATAGTGAACACTCTGCTTCTACCCCTTTCTACCGTTGAGTCTATCGCGAAGGATAGATTCAAACCCATGTGGGAATATTGGTTTGGTTTCGATTCCGGTCTTAAGTTTTCTATCTCGTACTATAAAGTTTCTATAGATCTTGGTTATGTTCCTCGTTAATAAAGTTCTAAAATTTATTTATAAAAATTTAATTTTTTTGTTTTCTAATCCTCTTAAATAAATTTTTCAACAACATCTCTATTCACAAATTGGGTTAGCTACAGCATAATTCAGAAATTGATTTACAACTTGCAACATAGTTAGAAATAAGTACGTTACAGTTAAACTTAGTTTCCAATTCCTCCCCTTATTATAATCTACGCAGAAATATTTCCAAACTGACTTTGAAAATCAAGTTAGCATATGCATTAGATTTACTTTTGAATTCAAAACTTAATATGATCTGTTGGAACAAATAATTCTAAAGAACAGCATATAAGTAACCCTGGTTTCATCTAGGTCTCTCATGGAATGATCATATTGAACTAAAACTGGGTCTATTCATTTACACTATTGACCTCCATTCTCCATTTGGTGGGTTCCAATTCTCCAGATAGATGGGACCCACAATTACATCTCTATTTCTCTTTCTATAATACAAGGAAAGGTGAATAGCATTTTAACATCTTGGGTATATGTAAACTGATCATCTTCCAAATGGATTCTATCAACTGAGGGGTAGGCATGATTACAGGCATATGTTTGCAAGGACCAATAATCTACACCAATTTATGGTGATAACAAACAAATATCATTTTATGGGTTGAATTAAGATGATATCTTTGATCAAATAAATCAATTACGATGGGATGCTATATATTTCCTGTGTATATAATTACTGCTACGTAGACATTAATCTGATGAGGTGTGTGTAAATCGTTTTTGTGGACTGGTTTGATTATGTTCAATTATATGCAACAGCAAGATTGTATCATCCAGTGCCATTGAGTGTTCTGTCATCTATGGTGTCAACTTCAAAATTTGGACTATTTTGGCCATCTTCCTGTTATTGTTGATGTCTTTTTTTCTCTGATTATATATCTAGGTGTCTAAGCAACATAGGTGGTTCCATATGTTTTGGCAATGGAAAGGAACATATATAGGAAGCTGCCAACAAGAGGAAAGAACTTCTAGGTACTGACATTTTCAGATATGAATCTGTTTTGAATACTGGAGCAATCCTGTGGTCTCATTTGTTTTATTCAATATAACAGATCACCACAAAAAATTGTCCATATATAGATAGGAGAGCAGTGCATGTGCACTGTGTGGATCACATTTTTATGCATATCCACGTTTCTTGAACTAGTTATAGTTGTTCTCATCATTGACAACCCCTACTTAAGGCCCTTGGCCCCTCTAAGTTATCAAAATAAAACCAGAAAAAAAAAATATATTGAAGTACAGTCCGATATGATACTCCCTTCCTATCAGAAAAAAGTTTTTAACACCATCTATTCTTTGTTTGTTCCAAAAAAAATGCAAAGCCTTTATCTTGGGAAAATTCCTATGCATATGTACATATATGTGTCTTATAGTAATCATTACAAAATATAGGTGAGATTGATTGCAGTCTATATAATTTCTCAACCTTGTCCAATTAATCATTAGTTCAGGACGGTTTATTAAACCATATTACAAGTTAAATGTCAGCACATTGTTTTTGGGACAGAGGGAGTAGAAAGTAGAATCCCCAAATTTCTGCCAAATGAAGTATTGAAGATATTAATAAAATGTATCTGACTGATATTGGGATACCTTATCTGCGCCTGATATTATACTCTTAACCAGTGGGATTATTTCGCTGCTTCTCACCACACTATATCCCAAGAAATATTTTGCTTGAGATAGGGCAATAACAATGGCTGAAGCAGTTGTAAAGCCAGAAATCACAGAGTGGCTGATAAAGCGGATGAGCCATCCGAGCCTAAAATGAATAAGAAAATATTGCATCAATAAAAGATCGTTGACGAAGAATCAGCCTTTAACGCTAGAATCGATAATTACTAAATCACTGTAACTATAACATTTTGCACATGAGACTCATGCTAATATTTAAGCAATACTTAAAATTAATGTTTAAAATTCTTGAACTTCGAATTTCTGATACGAACAAATTGTGATATATTATATGTTATACAAAAGATTGATGAGAACTATATGGATTTGATCAGTGAAATTAGAGTTAAAAATACATTAAAAACAAAGAGAATTTATTGAGGAAAAGTACCTCAAGAGCCCCATTGTGCATTCTAGAATCCCAACCATGAGTGACAATAATATAGCGAGTTCTGTATATAATTCACCAGATGAATCAACATTGGCTAGAACATTAGATACCAATAGAGAGACCAATGCTACTGGACCAACAGCAAGCTGACGTGATGACCCGAATATGGCATACACAAATATAGGCACTAATCCAGTATCTGAGGTGAAAGACCAAACAAAATTCCCCAGCTAGTTAGAAAAACAGATTAATGTACAGGGAAAAACACCTCCTTGCTCCATCCACCCACATTAAGTGTCCCTAAAATTGGAACTAGAAGAGTGTAAATTCATACATAAACAAATAATTTAAAAGCAAATAGGCTGCCCTATGCAGGTTAACTGCTAGTCATCAGGATTAGCTGTTCACCGGATAAAGGAAACTGTAGCATAGGCAGATACTAATCCATCACAACAGACACAACTGCAATAAAAGAACATCTAGAACCTACAAGGCTATGGTATATCTCTCCACCAAAATAATTTTGCAAATCTATTTCAAAATGATGTTTCAGAAACTCATTCCTAATAATATTGAGGTAAGGGATTTCTGCGACCACTCAAAATGCCGAGTTAATCAGAAAAATAGATTAATGTACAGGGAAAAAACGACACCTTGTAGGCTCTAAATGAGCCTTACCCTCTTTATGTATTAAGTCGTTCACTCTCCAATTCCTCAAGTACCAATTGTCTTGTGATTGCTCAAATACTTTTTCCGCTTAATCAAGTTAGTTAATAAAGTTATTCCATGTAATGTAACTATACTTTCGACTTCAGAGAAGTTAAACTATAATGTAAAGAGCAGATGTTGATTTTCAACTTACAAAGTCCATATATTGGTTGAAGTCCAGCTAGCTTTGCATATGACATAGACTGCTCACATAGAAACAAGATAAAGAAAGAAACTTAGTGTTTGGAGTATAAAATTAAAATAACCCACTGCAACATGTAATTATATTACAACAAGCATTGTTTTCCAAACAAGTTGAGATAGACTAAAATGAAACTCGCGAAAGTACTATAAAGAGAAGACCTGTTTCAAGTGTTTAGAAACACAGATATTAGCCTTGCATTCTCTCCCATATAAGGCTAGTTGCAAAAACAGATCTGGAAGTGATTATACAGCATACACACTCTTAAATGCGGCAATCAGGCATGTAGTAGTTGTTGAAACCGTATGAAAGCAGAAATGACGAAGTATATTTGAGCAATTTATCAAAGCAAAGAGTGTCTGAACAAGTAAAAGACAACATGGCTGACAATATAGGGTGTCATCACCGCATCAAATAGGTTTGGTAGATGTTATTGGTTAAAATTTAGATATTTTCTCCAATTTTGTGAATATTAACTTSTTGTCTGAACGGGTAGGCATGTATAAAGTGGCCTATACGGGGAGGGACAAGCAGGATCGATCTGGTTTCTGAGATTACACATTGTAACAACTCGTTCCAAATGGATAGAAGATTAGATTTGTGAGCTCCTTGTAAGCTCAAAGTTGTAAGTTACCAATAACTTCCACCATAGTTTTAAGTTGATTTGGAGGTTATTGGGCTATGAGGAGTTACAAATGGTATCAGAGCCGGTCATCCCATATGAAAAGAAAATTAGGTTTTTGAGCTTCCTAACAGCTCAAAGTAGTCACAAAGCAAGAACTGAGGAGACTATGCATAACTTAGAATACTCTGTAAGTTACATAAATTTGATAGTAACAAATCTTTTAAATAACTTAAGGTGGTTACAAGTTTTCCCTGTTCATTGAAAATCAAAGGAATCATCAAAAAGTCAGTGAAACCTCAAAATTTTAACTCAATACTATGTTTCTTCAGAGAGTTTCACTTTGACTTCAACTTGTAACGGGGACTATTTTCAAGTTCAGAATCTACWCAAATTATTTTACAAATTCAACGTAGATTTATCWAACTTATAGTATTTCCAGTGAAATTTATTTTAGCATATCAATTTTTCCTTAGAAGAATTAGGGACATCCATAACAATATACCAAAAGGCCTTTGGCGGTAGCCTTCTAGGAGCTCGGATGTTCAAACGGTGTGAGCATCCATGACAATATTAAAAAATTACAAAGCAGTCCCTCCGACCTCAAAAAAGATGTAAATGGCAAGAGCGGTAACTGGTACGAGTCGAATGCTATCYAGTAAATTTAAGTAGTAACATCTAGCAAAACAAATCGCATAGCTACTGAAAAATTCCARTGCACGGTTTTCAAGTCATATACGGTACTGTTAACTCAAGAAAAGTATAGCAGTTAAGAAAAGGTTCATCAGGTTGTGGTTGTGAGATGTTTAGATTCTGCTTGACTAACTGGAATCTCTTATTGACTCATTTGTACCTGTGGCACGAGCATGATACCAACAGTGATACCGGAAACCATGTCAGGCTGGAGATATTCACGCCAATTGTAGGTACGAATCCAACGTGAACAAGGGAGAAAGGCCTCAATCCAATCAATCATCTTCATCCCCTGCAATTTCGCTCTCCATCCCGACAAAGAAGACGAACACGTGGCCGGCGTCGTATCTCCGCTAGTATACGAATGTTGAAACGGGATGACTTTTACCGTACGATTCGTCGGCGTCCTCATGAGGACGACGGTGAAGCGATTAGGTCTAGAACGCTGGTGGAGCTGTAGGTCACTGCAGCGCCGACACACAGTATAATATCAAGAAATGCAGATTTTCTGGTGGTAGATGATGATCTTTGGAGTTCGTGAGAGGGCGTTCTCAGGCAGTGTCGACCACGAGTTTTTGGTGGTGTGATCCATTCGTCGAGTTCGTTACGTCAACGATTCTTGGGTCCCGCTAAAGGCAACAATATTTCTCCCAGTCAAACAGACAACGACAATCACGTCTTTCGCATCCCGCTCCCAGTCCTCCAACAATTATTCAATTTCAATTTTGAGCGTCAATGGCATCGTCAAACGAGCGCACAATTAGCCCAAACCCGAGACCGGTCTAGAATGGGACCGCAAGCATTTAAGCGTCCACCATTTTTTTATTTTATTTTTTTTTTTTAAAACGACATAAATCTTGATTTTAATATTTAATTTTTATTTTTTGTTTTTATCAATATAATTCGATTTTATATGTTTTTTAAAAAGCAATAATATTTTTATTTTT